GTCGACGTCGAAGTCGAACCGAATGGAACTTACTTCTTACGAAAGTATATCATCCACGATGTTTGCAGAATCGAGAAGTGCAGAGTAATGGACAGTAAAATGCGACCGCTTTGGTTAGTTTTCGAAAACGCTGATCCGTTCGGCGATGATATTTATTTGATATTGAAACATGGGGATGATTTGAGACAGGACATGCTCACGCTGCAGATGTTGCGAATCATGGATAAACTGTGGAAGAGAGAAGGCCTGGACTTGCGTATGAACCCTTACGGTTGCATATCAACGGAGAACAGAGTCGGCATGATCGAAGTGGTCCTAAACGCCGAAACGATCGCAAACATTCAAAAGGAGAAGGGTACGTTCTCGGCGACCGCTGCTTTCAGGTATGTTCGCGAGTGAAAGTATATTATTATTATTATTATTATTATTATTACAAGTCAACGAGTATTATAAGTTATCTCGATCCTCCACGATCTCTGTATTTATTCGTTGGATTGTTGTTTGTTTTTTTTCTTTTTTTCACGTCTGTTGTAAAGGCGAGGCTCTTTGCTCGCTTGGTTGAAAGATCACAATCACACGGATGCAGCGCTGAACAGAGCCATCGAGGAATTTACTTTAAGCTGTGCGGGCTATTGCGTGGCTACCTATGTCCTTGGAATTGCCGACAGACATTCGGATAATATAATGGTGAAGAAAACCGGTCAATTGTTTCACGTTGACTTTGGTCACATACTCGGACATTTTAAAGAGAAATTTGGATTCAGACGTGAACGCGTGCCCTTTGTGTTGACCAATGATTTTGTCCACGTGATAAACAAGGGTCAAACGAAGAAGGGTCAAGCAGTTGAATTTCAACGATTCCAGAGCCATTGCGAGCAAGCTTTCCTCGTTCTGCGTCAACACGGAGGTCTGATATTATCGTTGTTTGCCATGATGATATCAACGGGATTACCTGAGTTATCGTCGGAGAAAGATCTCAACTATTTGAGAGATACTTTGGTACGTCGCGTCGTAGTAGTTTTTTTTTTCTTTTCTTTTCTTTTCTTTTCTTTTCTTTTCTTTCCTTCTTCCTTTCTTGTCTTTTGAAAAAACAAAAACGAAGGAACAAGTCAAAAGTTTGAATATTGATCGAATTTTTTCTTTCCGAACAAACACAGGTACTCGAGATGTCTGAAAGCGAGGCACAAAAGCATTTTAGGAGTAAATTCGACGAAGCTCTCTGTAACTCGTGGAAAACTTCGTTGAACTGGGCTTCTCACAACATGTCGAAAAACAATAAAACAACGTGAATGGAAGTGAACGCGCGAGTCAGTCGAACAAAAGGGAACGAAGTGAAACGAACGCGTACCGTTCGAAACTTCACTAAACAGGCATAAACGAGTGATTTTTCACGAAAAGATTACACACCACACACGCACACACACACACACACACACACGACGTAAAGAGAAAACACGAGAAACGAAATGATCAGTTAGATTTCGAGTCCAGTAATCAGCAGCTATTTTTCTTTTGTTGCCGTATGATTGTAACGTGTGTATACGCGTGCACACACAATTGTCTTCGCGTCTTTTCTTTAAATCGTGGTCTTTCTTTCACACTTTTTTCTTTCGATATCTTCGTACGCACCACGCGCGCGCAAACATTCGATTCTTGTAAGTAAGTAATTACATTCATAAGCTATACTTTT